AAGTCAGCCTAAGGCTTGATTGCACCAACGTTATTTTGAATTTTAAGTGATATTTAATAATATGTGTCACGTATATCATGTATTAAGTCTCGCTTAAAGCCCAAATAATATTGGCGCAACCGGGACTAAGATCTCGCCGTTCGAGATTTGAATTCGCCAGCGACGCGCACGCGTAATGTCAGTCGACGGCAGCGCAACGTGGCTGACGCCGACGCGAGTGCAACGTGTGACAGCAACAAGGATGGACAGTCATTCGCGGCGGTGAGTCACGTGTACGCTGGTGTGCGTACGCTGGTGTATGCGTTGTATGTGTTGTGTATGGGTACAGGTATACCCGAACGGCGAGCAACAAATTACTCGGTCGCCGCATGGCTCGTGTCGTTGAGAGGGGATCAGTTACGCGTTCGTCGATCAAGCATCTTACGGAGCGGCTCCTTGTCACTCACGGCCGTTCGATATTGCCCACGTGAAACGCCTCGATCATGCGATGACGGTTTTCAATTACCTTTGTAGAACTGCAAGTGAGTATGACGACAGTTTCGAGTATATATTTGCCTGCGATTATTCCGTTGAGCTTTTATGACGTTCTACGGATGACTACGATTGCGACGCACCATTCTGAAAGTACGACTGATAAGAATTAATCAACATCAGAGCCTCCGAAGAGGAATGGAAGAATATCTTCGTGTACCATATCTAGTGTAACTTTCCTTTTCGGACGCGCTTTTGAGATCTGTTGTTTTCTTTATTGTTGCAGTACCGATGTACTCAAATGTTCTCTCTCGCTTTCACCAAACTTCAAACATATACCTTCTTCTATCTTCTAAATCTAAACTTTGATTCCAAATATATATTTGTTTAATTTTAACGAATATACAGAGAATGCGTCATTAACGTTTTCTCGCTTGTTTGAGAAATTCCTGAGGATAACGTAGTAACCATTAGAATGCTTCTAAAAATTCACAATACAGATAAAAAATTTTGAATCATAAAAATTATGATTAATTGTTTTAAAATTGTATGTATAAATATTTAGATGCGATGCATCTGAATACAAAATTTCTAATTTTCAAGCGAAAAGGCATTAATTATGCCGGAATTTAGTCATAATCATAATATTCCCATCCTATTTTTAGCGGGACGGAAAGTGTAGACGTAATGTTATCGGCTTTACTTCACACAACAGGGTAATATGCATATTCATGATCATATCGCGATATATTGACATATTTCGGAAAAAAAATAATTATTTATAAACAAAAAAAGAAGTAAAATTATCTTAATGTTTATAATACTGAACATAAATATATCATTTATATAATATATCTGAGAGAAACGAAAGAATGTTATGTGTATCTTGATGATAATATCAACACTTTTCAATTTTCATAATTATTTTTATTATGATTAAGTAACTCTTATCTTTGAGAAATTTGTATAAGGTCAGGCAAGGCA